AAATTTTTTTAGTAAACCAACTTATAGTTAGCTATCTGCAACGTGGAACCCGGCAAGTATGTACATCAATCCAAATTATCACACTCCACTAGTACAGCGAGATGAATTTTTTCACATGTCAAATCCTCGAATAGCAGATGCAGTAACGGTATCAGTACTAGTAGAAAAGATAAGGTACAAAAATATAGCTCTAGAATGTAGAAGATTATACGACATATACAATTATGAGGTTATTTTGAGACCCATGACCTCAGAAAAGACAAAAAGTGATTGCATCTACGTTACTAAGGTTAATTATGAGTCATGTCATTAAAGTCTCTAAACATGAGTTACAGTAGGTGTAGGAACCGTAACCAGGTAGTTTGTACCAATAAATAAGTCTCAGCGGCCATACCAACTGGTGCCACGCTTCAGATTAGTTACTCCTAGCTTTATCCCAACATACTGTTATGCCGAAAGACATCGCCTATCGAGGAACGTGGTAGCTTGCCATATGTATCACATGCTTCAACTTCCTCCAAAGATGGCGATCCACAACCTTGTCAGCTGACTGGCCATATTTAATCAATATCCTGTGTTCATTCCCAAAATTTATCGTTCATTTGACAGTACATAAAACATTTTTCGAATCCACCTATAATCAAAAGCCATCAACCTAATCATACCTTCTCCCTTCATAGGCCGTGTTTCATTCGTCGCTTGGTTATGAGACGAAATCACGCTCACACCAAAAGTGATACAGATTGGCGAAAGCCAGATGGGATTTCTGGGTCATTTCCGACAATTTTCCTGAGATAAACTCAAGAGGGATGTAGGAATTTGCAAGATGGGTTGATCGATTGAACCAAACACTAATACCTATCATTAATTTGAGCGTTGAAGCTGACACTAAAGGACTTCTTTTTTGTCTACACACACTTTTATTACCAATGAGTAAATATGCAGTGGTGTTCGTCAGATTAGTGATTGATGAGTTTTGTAAGACTGGCATATTTTTTGCAAGCGTTTAAAATCGTTTATGCTAACAAAATATATATTCTATGCATAGATATGTTCGCAACACTAATATATCTGCTTATATGATCTGCGATGGATCTCATTATCTGCATCTTTTTTTCTCATCACCTGTAGTCACTATTCACAAGGAGTAATTAATGAGCTTAGTATATTCATGCTTTCATAAGATGAAAAATCTGAAAACAATAAGTAATTTGGGAAGTCCTTTGATTCGAATTCACCAAAGTTGACCACCCTAAACAACTTTGTTTTAAAAAATAGATATGCTGTCATGAGTGACATGTTTCACAACTTTCAGTGACAAACTGATGCTAAATAAGTAGGGTAGTTTCTAATACATGAATAAAATCTCAAGTTGAAGAGTGGATGGTTATTCATTTAGAGTTATTATTATTATTTGAACACATAAATATTGATACAAGGAGGCACCGAATACATATGCGCCACATTTCACCATCTGATTTGTGTGAGGACTTGGATACTACATGGTTCATGAGAATCATTTAAGCATACTAAGGAGTTTTGAATAGTTGGTATCAAATGTCAAGTCAGAGTTTCATGGATCACAGTAGGTCTACATCAAGTAGGTTAACAAAAAAGATAAGCTGAAATCAAATATAAGTGATTGTTATCCATAAATATAAAGAAATTTCTACGATTTAACGAGCACTTTGTATTGGACTACCTTTATAATAATACAGGATAAAAAGCTAGAGCCAATCTAGAAAACATGAAGGAAAAATCAGATGAGCTTAATAAGCAGAAAATGGAGTGGTTACACAGGTCTAGAGTTGTTTTCAAAATTATCTGTGAAAGTTCACCATTCCTGTTGTCCAAGCAGACATATTTTGTTAATCCCAAATCGAGTGGAATAATTTCATTTTCACAAGTTATAAGATAGTCAGCTATGAAGATTTCAGTTAATAGTCGGGAGGACTTTTCCATACACTACAACTAATTAGATTTGTACAAACTTTCGGTTACCTGTTGGGTATTTTTATAGTAATAATGAGCTGAATACAATGCAACAATAAGTGCAATGCTCTTTTGGCCCTTTCACTGCCATCCAGCCAGGTAACTTCAGGACTGAAGATCTTAGTTAACGTAGACCAAAAATGGCTATGTATCTACGACGCATTTATCATTATCGCCACGTTGTAAGAATAATATTATCTCCTATTTCTACTTCCCTGTATTCCATAAATTTTAAAATGTATTTCCTGTGTTTTTAGTCTGATAATTTAAAAAACCTTTACCTATAATAATGATAATCTCTACCAGAAAGTGACAGATTTCTGGACACAAAATACGTGTTGCGACGAATCCCACTTAAAATTAAGATCTTTTGGTTGCGTATTTATACTAGGGCATATTTGAGCATTTAAATCTCTGCATTTTGGTAAATTTTGATGTACCCATTCCTAATGTAGCCTGGATATAGACAAGAAGTTGTACCAAATACTATTGCGTCATGGCTAATTTTTCATGATACATTGTAAGCTTTTGATAAGAGATTGTGACTGAATAATGAAGTAAAGAAAATCTTCTAGGCACTTACAATACATCAAACATAACATGATATCTTGAAATATTTGACAAATTGAAAATACAGTGACCTAGAGATCGAATTAGGCCGCTATGTCCACTACAGCTGTTATTATTTTGACTTATTAGTTATTTGTGCACTGTGGTTAATTAAACTGACATACATCTCTATGAAGACACGTCACTCAAAACTGTACTAGAAATATTTAGCTTAAAAAACCAGTATTCACTTGATTACAGAATACTTTTCTATCTAACCATTAAAATTCTATCAGTAAATCGAGCTAATTCAGTTTTCATTACAATGATAGGAGTGCCAATAAACTTAAAAAAAACCCTTAATATAAAAAAATATTAGGAAGTATATCATGTAGATAAGAGAGTTAAATTACTATGTATCTACAAGTTCGTTTGCACCTACTTCAGTCAATATTATTCACAACTTGGAAAATAATATACAATATGTTTTTACATTATATTTCATGGTATTTATAGTATAGTAAATGTGTGGTGTGTGTTACTTATATCGACATAAGTAGTATATGGTGTTATTTAGGAACAGAATCCCTGGAATCAGAGACAAGAGGATCGAACAGTAAAGAATGGAAACAGGATGCAATTTGTATGAACATGCAAGAACAATGAAGTTTGAGTCATTTTAAGACAATTGATGGACATTTTGCAAAGTAGGCATTAATTTTATGATTGTTAGATTTTATTAACAAGTCCTGTAATTTTGTGTCAAATATATTTGATTGTTGCAACCCATGTTCTGTTCACTAAACATGTTGTATACATCTCGAAGTATGTGGAACTAATAAGATTTATGGAAAATGTACAGGTTAAAAATGATGATAACAAACTCCAAATCTGAAGTTTGTGCTGATGATGTCGTTCAGAAGAACGAAAACTCCACGACCAAACCATCTAGCTCATAGAACAAAACACCACAAAAAACTCCAAATTCGCCTTTTCTATGAGGTTTACAGAAATAAACAAATTCATATCTGGTGTTAAATAATATATTTACCGGTGATTAAGTGTATGATGTAATATATTTCCATAGCAAGATCAATCATTTGTCGCTCTCATTAGAATTTTGTCAAAAAAAGGAGAAATAATATCTAACGTATTGCTTTTAACATTCAATTTTATGGAGACTGATTTTTATAAATTTTGAATATTTCCTAACTGAGAAGGAGCCTGTGAATATAGAAATTATATATGACGGACGTTTCATGTCGTATGATCAAAATTCTAGCTTTAAATCAAAACTATTTTCCAATGCTTCAATAAAACTTGCAGAATAAGTACATAACTATCCCCGTGAAAGGAATAAAAACTTTTGTCAAGCAAGACTGTACCCCATATTTTCAGCGTTTTTGTTGTTGTAAAAACTGGACAATTCTAACTGACCTACATGGTTCAGACTTAGAATCAGTCATTGGCTACTCAATGCCATGTTATATTGACTATTCTTAAACATTGCCTATATTACATTTATTCTAAGTAGCATAATAAAAAAATATACACACTGTAAAAACTGTTCAAAATCTGGTTAGATTTAGATATAAAGAAATACCTGTAAAGTTATACAGTGGTGATGATTAAAAAAAGATATACAGTTGAAAAATGAAACACCATCCTGTAGAGAATTAACATTATGTATTTCGATAGGTGAAAATTAGATTAATTTGAAAAATGCATGTTTAGTATCTGCATAGTGATGATCATAATAAACGATAAGAACTAGTGATCATTACTAATGTGATGGCGTGTACTTTAGAATGTCAATATTCAGTCCACTTTCTACGTACATAATGCAACATACTACGATCTTAATAGAATACCCGAAAACAATACATTGTTTATTGAAATGCTAGCAGTACTAGTAATTTTAACACAGTGAATAAGAATCTTCATAAAGCATTCAAATATTTTAATAAAACTTCTTTAACACAATAATAATGTTGACAGGGTTTACTATAAACATCCAGGATTTACAAGATATCGCATAACAAAATAATAAAAGTACGACCACCGCGTATTCACACTTTTCTAAGACTATTCTAATTAAAAATCTCAGATAGTTACTCACATCATTCCTATTAACGAATTCAGTGGACACGGAGAGTCCACTTAAGGAAGTTGGAAAACCCTGATTCCAAACTAATGGTCTACATGGACTCCAGTATCTTGAAGGAAGAAATAGCGTATCAACCTATTGTTAGACACCAGCTATCATGTGACTACGTCTCCTTACATTGCTCTACTGACTTGTGGATTGGACCTCTAGGTCAAAGACTCGGGGAGTAGCCCCTCAAGAAAATCATCTGGCACCCGGGAAGTATTTCAGCCCTCACACAAATCGAACGATTTATGTGGCTCATATCGATTTGTTGCCCCTTTCTACCAATATTTATGTGTTTACATAAATAAATATCAATTCATAATATATTTGTAGAAGTAAACCATATACGGCGAGATCTTTAAAAATTAATATCCGAAATGTTACTTCATTGAAACAAAAAGAAAATCAATATTACATAAATGCACAATGGATCTAATACAATTGAGGTTTTATCTCCATAATAGAAAAAAAATAATAAATCAAAAGTCATCAAGATAAAGAATAAATAACTAAGCTACAAGGGACTACAAATTCTTTCTTTATTTGAAAGAATAAAAGAAATTACAAGAAAAAAAAATACCTAATCAGTCAGATACATATGAAGCTTGTTTTTTGTTCTTTTTATTCAAGAAGTGAATAAGGGATGCATACATGCATACAATCAAATCATAATGAGAAATAAAAAAGAGAGAAGAAAGAAACCAAACACCTAAAAGATAACAAAACATTTCTAGTATAACTGGGAATATTATAATTATCAATAAAGGTATTATTATCATAAGTGGATGGATGTGTTTCATAGTAGAGGATAAGGAATTGAGATCTAAGATTTACGTAGGAATTGTTTACCTAATACAAAATTGAACTGAACAATTTCATATGATTGATCAGAGATAGATTAACAATTAGATACTGTCATTTTAATATACATTCATTCGAAAAAAAATAAAGAAAAAGAAGCCAAACCTAATCCAATTACATTAAGATTTAAAATGTTGTCATGGTGTACAAATTATAAAATGCATTGTTTTGTAGAGAGAAAAAAAAAGAAAAATAATAATGAACCATAATATGAGATGCAAAAATTGTAGTTATTTCATTTTTAACTACTTATTTGTGAAAATAAGTAGTAAAACTATAACAATAAATATTTCCTAGATAATTATGTGGTTGCACTTAATACAGCTCGCATTGCTAATGTTTGTAATTGACAGATAGCAACATAATTTGACGGTAAATCAGAATCTGTTTCATCACGAATCATATCTTCACAGTTTGCACTGTTATTACTAGATACAGTATGTCCAGAAAAATGGTGATGACAAGGAGATTCTATTAAATGTGAATGTAAAGTGTCTGTAAGAGTCCCGTAAATACGTGAAGAATAATTATCATTGAGATTACTGTGACTATTATTATTATTGTTATGGTTATTGGCATTAGTAACAGTGTTGTCCATACTGCAACTTTTCTGATTGCGACTAGAACCGGTATGTGTATTATCCATGTCGTGGATATTGTTATTCCAACGAACAGTATTCATATCGGGATAACTTTCATTCCTGTAATGGGATGTTTCTGGAGTCATGATACCAAAGTCTAATGTTGCATAGTGCAACATACTTGTGGGCTTTTCAAAATTGTTATGACAGCCTAAGTTACCTATCCTACATGGAACAGTGGTAGTGGTAGATGTTGTTATTGAGGGAGAAGTAGTAGTAGTAGCAGTAGTAGTAACAGAAATATTAGTACTTATTGTTACAGACGATGATGCTACTGATGGTGAGGGTTGATTACGAGCAGTCTGAATAGGTGATTCTTTTGAATATGAACTGCAATATGATATACGATTTATATTATCCCCTGAAACGGGATGATTTGCAGAAGATAAAGATGTACAGTTGGATGTGAAATCAGTAGGTAAACACGAAACACTAGATGAATGAATACACTTTTGATTATTCTCTCCAGGTGGCGATGAAGTAATTGTTTGAGAAGTGCACAGACCAGTACACTGGATTTGAGTTAAAGTCTGACATAAAAAATAAAGTCATTCGTGAATAAATAAAACTTTAAAAATATCACCACTTATTTATCAGTTAAACTAAAATACAATTTAACACATTAACACAGTGTGACGGGAGCCAATAGTTTAGACACAGTCGGAAGCACATTTATCCCTCTATAATTGTTGCAGAAACGATGTGAATCCTATTTAAAGATAGGAACAACTACCGACTCATTCCACGATGTTGAAACACACCTATTATGGACAACTTAGTTCCTTAACCAGAAAACGTAGTGATAAAGATTCTATCCTATAATTGTGAGTAGTAAATCTAAGTCAATGGACAATGTAATGTAAAGATCCTCCAAACAACTGATGAATGTACTATTAAAACGAATTAATAATTCATGAAGGAATATTTCATATTTCTAGTTGTGTACGAAAAATCTATCTTATATATTCTTTTAAAGCCATTCACGTTATTTAGCATAAAATATACTTCGTTAGTTTTCAATAGTAGGTATGCTCGAAACACTGAATATGTTTGATGGAGTTGACGAAAATCGATCTGAGCTGTAATACACCTAGCAAGATTTCAGGTTCGGATACTTGTTAGGTCCCGAGAAACATTATGAATGGTAACTTTGGGATCTATTGATGGACCAATAGTAAACGTATATTTCTATTGTATGATTATTAATTAACTAAACTATGCATATTCATATTCCTCTTATTATAAGCTTTATATTGACCCATAAACTATTATTATACGTTTTACCATTCTTGAGTTATACCCAGTATATTAATTACAACCTCCTTCATTCACAGCCACATCTGGCTAATTCTTGTACAAACGTTGTTTCATATTTTATTGGTACGTTGTAGTCTGCTTGATTGGTATATAAACAAAGTATGTTTGAAATATAATGATTCATATCGCAGAGGCTGAGACTTGTGTTCTGGACTTAACTGGCTGGGCTAGGCGGAAAGCAGGACCAATCAGAACTCGAAGCTGTTCATACGGGTTTATGCGTCATTGTTCCGATCGATAACTCACTGCTCTCAAATCGGCGGTCACAAGTTATAACAATACTGTAACACTAAAATTAGAATCTTTGGATGATGTAATTGAAAATCAACTGACTGCTGTAGGTCAAATTATTTATTCTCTACTAAATGTTCAGTAACATATCATCTCATATTTTATGTTACATGAAGTTATTTCCTACATCTAAACTGTTTATATTCCCATCGCTATGGGTATTGTCATTTTCACACTTTTGTTTGATTTCTTATTTGTCCATGTGTCTGGGAATATCATAAATTGAAATTGATTGAAGTAATTTACAAGTTAACACTTAGAAATCCTGACTTTAATTAAGTAGATATGATATTAAAGGTTCGAATAGAACTGGAAATGAACTTACCTGAGGACTTGTCGACAAATTATAATACGGTGAATACTCAGTAATCATATCTAGCATGTCAGAATTTTTTGTGTCTGAAGAATTACTAAGATTACGATGTATCTTACATAAATAATCAGATGGAATCTTTTTATTTACACGAAATGGCATATTTTCTTGTCGACTATGATTAGTACCAGTGTTAGCATAACTATGTTCACGGCGGCTAATACCATCACCAATAATAACAGTATTACTACATGTATTTGGATTTGGTAGACTAGCATGTCTTGAATGTAAGTAGATTTTGGATGATGTTGATATTGATGGCAATCTTGGTAGAATTAATGTTTGAGATTTGTTTCTAAACTTTCTCATTACATCATGTTCTTTCGAGTTATTATTATTATCACCATTAGTTGTTGTTGTTGTAGAATTGTTTGATATAATTGAACTAGGTTTATCGATCATTTCTGGTAGATTTATATCTGATGACAATGATTTTTTTAAATGAGCAGGTGGATTGTTACAATCATTGATATGTGCTAATTTTTGTTCTCCAAAAGATGGCGTTGAATCACCTCTTTCTAATGCTAATACTACAGGACCAACCCCGTCAATCTGTGTTTGCCCATCTACACTGGTCTTTTTATCAATTTCTGCCACGTTATTATTATTATTATTATTATTGTTATTATTATTATTATTATTATTATTATCACCGTATTCGTTAGATAGTTGATGAGGGAAACAAACTGTGGGTGTTGTTGGCGTTGTCATTGATGGCAATGAACGCCTTATTGTACTACAACAACAATTATCGTTATCATTATTAGAAGTAGTGTCATTCATTCCATTATTGACAGCAATTAAATTATCATAAATTCGTTGATAACATACACTTTGTCCTTGTATGATATCACAATAAGATGATGAATTGTTATATAAAGGTGGTAAAGGTGCTTCAGGTAGATTAGATATTTCATCATCTTCATCAACTTTAACAATACACTCATCCATATCAACAATTGTATCATTTTTTGTGTCTTTATTAAGACAATGTGACTGATGATTATTTGATTGATGAACAGAAAAATAACTACCACCACTACGTTGACAACATCCTCTACCGACATGATGACATTGATGACTAATATTGCTTCTAGTAGCTGTAGCATCATCATCATCATCATCATCTTCATTACAGTTAATTGGATTCATTGATGCAATATCAGTTAATTGTGGACAAGAATATTTAAAATTATGTTGTAGCTTATTACCATGGTTATTGTTTGTATGATTATCATGTTGATTATTTTCATTATTACTAAAATGATTTGATGAATTCTGTAATTGAAGCCAATGTAAACAATTTGATGATACACGATCATGATGTTCTTGTTTTTGTTGAATTTTCTTATTCTTCTTCGTATTATTATGATGATGATGATTATTCATTAATTTTATAGTTTGATTATGAAGAAGTTCAATTTCTGTATCATCAAATGAAAAAGCTAAATTATTACGTTCTGTTAAAACTGGCGGATATGATCTATGATAATGATTTAATGGATCATGATTATCAATGATGTTTTTATGATCATTTCTTCCGTTGAATTGATTATGATCTATTTTTTCATTGATTGAATCATTGAATATAGGTGTAGTACTTAATGATATTGATGATTGTTTATGGAAGATTTTGTTAAATGGCATAATGAATGATAATTTTCCATTATTATTATTATTATTACTTCGTAGTAATGAACGACTTTCAGAAATCGATGTTGATAATTGATGAACGGATAGATTATCTCTATGTTGATGAACACATGTCTGTTTAACGAATGTATGATTAAAAGAAAAACAGCAAACAATCATTAATACACCAATAAAAATACATTTTTAATGAAATAACTTTATTAGGTAACAATGAAAAAGGGATTAGTGTAGCCTACCAGCAAGTGTTGTGGTGGTTTAGTAGTTAAGACGTTACAATTTCAACAAACTAGGTCCAAGATTCGAACCCTAGTCCACTGACTCCGGTTTGGGCAACCAAGAAGTATCATTAATACTTACATTTAGCGTATGACTCATACCTAAATACCCGGTGAATGTGTTAATTTATTATTTAGCCATCAATGCTTAGAACAGATTTTGAATGTCTACTGTTTAAGATATATAACAATGAACATGTGATAATAGTGTAATCTACAGAAGAATTGTTAATCGTTGATTCTAAATTTAATCAGTCAGCTACAACGTAGAGCCTAGTATTTATGCCTATGTACATCGGTTTAAGTTGCCATACCCCATTAGCACAGATGAGGTTGTCAAACCAAATCAAGCAAAAGTAGAGGTAGTAACAGTATCAATAGTAATAATAACATTAGATATCGATGCAAAATATAAATTAGTGAAACAAAAAAATAATATGAGGAATTAAGAATTTTTGAGAATGCAATGAATGAATGCACATGCGCGATTGCAAACGAATTTGAGCCATGTCATTCAAAATCTCTAACCAATGGGGTTACGATAATTACGTGGACCTCAGGGTGGATATCATTTTCATGGTTGACTAACTCCTTCTCTACTTGTTCCTGAAATATATTCCTAACTTTTTCATCATTAAGTTGAAGTCTAAAAGGCTTTTAGCTGTGACTTTTCTAAGTCCAGTATGACGCAAATAAATACATGCTCGAACAAAAGCATGATCTAAGTCTAAGCAAGTGTTTCAGAATGAGTCATTATATGTTCGCTGAGCTGCAACACCGTAAGATCTGCCTCAGTGCCTCTCGGTTTTATTTAGTTTGCCTAGGTAGGGACAACAATGTATGTCCCTACCCATTCTATTTCTATGGAAACCCTGGACAAAATTCAAGAAAGGAAGAACAAGAAAACAACAATTAACAACCTCAGTAAACAGAAGCAAACAAGCAAGTGAAGAAGAACATTAAAGCTGACAACCAGAAATACGAGGGACAACTAGCAACGACGGCAGAACAAGCTCCAAGAGGACGAAATATGAAACAAATATATGATACAACGAAGAAACTAGCAGGGAGGCAGTTCAACCACTGAAATTCAAGAACAGAGGGACAGATGGGTAGAGTATTTTGAGGAACTCGTGAATAGACCAGTTTCATTGAATCCAGTGGACATCGAAGCAACAAACACAGATCTTCTTATAGTTCTCACTCCATCAACGATCGAAGAGATCAAGATAGCAATCAGACAAATCAAGAGTAGGAAAGCAGTAGCACTTGAGAATATACCAGCTGAAGCTCTGATATCAGACATTGAAGTAACTTCAAACATAATTGACGTTCTATTCGAGATTTGGGAGGAGGAACAAGTGCCAACGGACTGAAAAGAAGGACACCTCATCAAGATACTAAAGAAAGGAAATCTGAGAAAAGTGAGGAATACAGACGTATCACACTACTGTTAGTACCGGAAAACGTTTCCAACAGAATGCTGCTGAACCGCATAAAAGATGCAGCTAAGGATCCACGAAAATGGCAACACTAGAATCAGACAGTGAGAGACAATTGTTGTAAGTCATACTAAATAAACAGTGATGACTAATTACGCCCTGTATTTGAGAGTGATTTCTGTAGTCATCGCATGATCAAGTGTGATAAATAGATCAGTAATTAAAAAGTTTTTCGATTGAATCATATCACTAAGCAGTTTATTTTTGAATATGTTTATAACAAAATAATGGCAGAAATTGTATTTGGTTAAAAGTATTTATCCGAAGGATTTGATTAATATGAAAGTAGATTTAACCACATTCGAGATCAACAGACCGGATTCCGTAAGGATCGGTCGTGCACAGACCAAATTACGACATTACAGATCATCATCGAACAATTAGTTGAATGGAACTTGTTACTATACATCAAATTTATTAAATATGAGAAGGCATTTGACAGTGTATATAGGAGAACATTATGTAAACTCCTTCGACACTGTGGAGTTCCTGAGAAGGTTGTCAACATTATTCCGGACTCATACGACGGACTACAGTGTAAAGTCGTGCATGGAGGACAGCTGTATCTCAAGTAAGGACTGGAAACAGACAAGGCTGTCATGGAAGAACCACCAAGAACAATTATTCCACAAAGTAGACTTTAGTTGGTTTATTACGAAAATCAAACACGACTATCGCTTAGAGGCAGTAAATATGGTAGAAAACCACGTGAATTACAGTACAATCTATGATACGCTACTGACCTTCAGGTTAAATTATCATATCAGTTATAACTGCTGATTGGGAAGTATTCATTATTAAATTTCATGATAAGATGTAGTAGCTAACCAAGAAAATAAGAAAATTTAAATCCCGATGTTTAATAAATAATTTCCTATTAGGCATATCCAACAAACTAATCGATTTACTGAAATGTCTAAATGATATATATAGACCTCTTTCTGTCTTTCTTTTTGTTTTCCCATCATCTTGTCGATACACTATCATGTGAATCAGTGGAAAATAACAATAAAGTTCACTTCGGAGATGGTTATTTATTTGAATTAAATATAAGACTAGACATAATGCACAAGTCATATGAATAGAAGCATGGGCAATTTGTGTATGAAAAGTGGCATGTAAATTAGTGTAGGGACAAAAAGTAATTAACTAATAAAACTTTACACAAGTTACAAATCTTCTTCCTTATTTTCATACCCTACATATAATAGTAATAGTTATGTAAAAAAAAATAAATATCCTGACGATAGCACTACACAGTAACTGATTATTTTTTTAAATAGCATAGATTTTTCCAATGAAATATCAGATGAAAGTATAAAGTTTATTACCCCCCACCATCCAAATTAAAAAGTTATTCAACAATTTTTCATGAACCCATAGATTCAATTTGATGATATGAATCCCAATAGTTCCAACCATATACAACAGATTCAATATTAACTTATAACTAACTAATGGTAACAAATAAAGTAACGAAATTCCTCATTGTGTGCACGTTAAATTGTAAGCAAACGTTAACAATGATGAAGAATAAAAACGAGAAGTACAGAGTCTATGACGAATATAAAGAACTAATTGGAATAGCGATTTTTGGTTTTTATAGAAAGTTTAAACGGCAATTCTGCATAAAATTCATCATTATAAGTAGTTTTGTTTAGGATATGTTTACTGAGTCATAAAATTACTTAGATATTTAAGAAAAAGTTTTTTGTAGAATCATATGGTCATAGTGATATGAATGTAAAAGCAAATTTATGTGTTAAGCTTCTTTTCTTCCAATGTGGATTCTATCATTCGATTTATGTGAGGGCCGGGATACAGACCAGGTGCCGAAACCGAAGTATGTTGTTTACTTAAGGGGCCACACCTGTAACCTTTGACCTGAAGGTCTAATCCACAAGGTAGTGGAGCATTGTCAGGAGATGCAGTCCCATGGTAGCCGGAGACCAACAATAGGTTCATATGCCATTTCTTCCTTCAAGATACTGGAGCCCATGTACACCATTAGTTTGGAATCAGGGTTTTCCGACTCCCCTAAGTGATACCTCCGTATCCATTAACCTGGTTAAAGAGTCGGACTTCCGTTTTTCATTCTCTTGATTTCGTAAACAACAGTAATGCCGCGAGAAGGCAGTGAGTAGGACTTCCCTGGCAGTGGTTGTATGCATATGGCCCACTCTCGGCCGTACTATGGCATTTGTGGGTTATGAGATTATAGTCTTAATTTGTCGACTTTTTCAGGAAACTTGTGAAAGTTTCATAAAATCTCTTATGACATGATAAATAACGAAGATATACTACTGATGATCTATTGAATGAATAATTACCCTTAGCTAAGACAATCTAATTAATGATGATAAAGTTCAATTATAGAAATGTTAGAAAATTCAATCATGTTAGTAATATGCCCGCAAATGCCCTGGTACGGCCGAGAGTGGGGAGAGTCAGCTCTCCCTCTCCAAATGCTCTCACATGGCCACGCGTTTATAGCCTCTACCAGAGAAGTCCTACTCACTGCCTTCTCGCACCACGGGTGTTGTTTATGAAAATCAGAGGACGAAAAGCGAATGTCCGGCTCTTTAACCAGATCCCAAACAAAGGGTGCACATGGGCTCCAGTATCATGCGGGAACAAATGGCGTATGAACCAATTGTTGGTCACCCGCTTCCATGGGACTGCATCTCCTGACGATGCTCCACTGCCTTGTGGATCAGATTTTCAGGTCGAAGGCTCGGGGAGTGGCCCCCTAAGAAAGCCACCTGCTTCGGTTCGGGCACCCAGGCAGTATCACAGCCCTCACACATGTCGAATGATTTACATGGTGCATGTCTATTTGGTGCCTCCTTGTACCAATATCTATGTGTTAAAATAATAATAAAATAATCGAAAAGTTATTACTATTATTTCAATAGTTGAGGTCATGAGTCAATTGAAGCTAGACCATCATGGAAAACCTCCTTCTTTAATCGGAGAATAAATGGACTGATTAAATAGTTCTACACTTTGTTTATTTCTTGTATAATTAAACGGATTATTTACATACTACTTATTAAATGATTATTTTTTGTTGTTGTTTATTATGATTATTTATTTTCGGAATTTTTGACCTCTATTTTATAGATCGAAAGATTATTTTTGTTTCGTGTTAACATGCTACTTATTATTCTTACAATCATGATGAAAATGGGTTTTTTTTAAAAAAACAATATATAATTTGCTTATATTTATGCCCTATTGTAAATAAGGTTAATAAGCATCATTTTTTTTTCTATTTGGTTTTGGAATTCTATTCGTTGAATAACAAGTAGAAACGATGAACAACTAGTTAATAAAG